CTACACCACACTTTTCTCACGACCTGTGACTGAGTTTTGATAAGTGGAGAATTCTCTAATTAAAGTATCTTAAGAAATGAGATAGTTGTGGCCTTCCATGAAAAAGATCCCATAGCCTTGGATCTTGAAATAGAAGGCTGTTCATACGAAGAAGACTTACATTCATGTTTCACAGTAGCTTGACTTCTTTCCCCCGCCCCTGCAAATCACTTGATTGTGTGCGAGTAATCATTTAGGCCATTTTCATTGAATTAGTGCTTGCAACATCAAGAAGAAAACAATTTTTGTATGACAGACAGTATAATATGCCACTGCTGAAATACCTGGAAAAGAAGAGCAAGTCTCTATATAAAGGAGAACATCTCTTCCTGTAGCATTTTATTTTGGTAACTGACAAGAAAGCAGGAAACAGTATAAATCCATTTAAATAAAAGATTTTGAAAGCATACTGTAACATGCTACAAATCAGACATGGTTGCTCTTTTTCCCTCCTTTCTCTACAAAATATCTTTCATTCCTTGTTCTACCATTCTGTCTTCGGGGGAAGCCCTTATTATGCCCTGGTACCAGCCAGTGTTCTTTGCTAATGATCTGTGAGGAAGCTGGTTGCATCAGGATTAAATCCTTCCACATAATAGTAACTAGTTTGATCGCTGCAGTAGCAGTATTGTTTAAAATTATTTGGAAATTTCATGTGTCTTTAAAATGGAACGAGTATTCTCAGTCAATGGCATTGTAGAAGAACGTGCCATCAAATGTGATTTCATGACCCTTCTTGTTGCTATGTAGAGAACTACAAGAACTCTTTCAAGTGTGATTAACAAGCTGGCGAGTCTAATGGTCAAACAGGGAGAAAAGAAGAGTAGATCTGGAAGACTGGGCTTGCTTTTGAGAATATCATGTGCAGAAGTATTAGGAAGCTTCATGAATGTCAAGATATATCAAATATAGAACCATAGAATGGTTTGGGTTGGAAGGGACCTTTGAAGATCATCTAGTCCAATCCCCCTGCCATGGGCAGGGACATCTTTCAGTAGATCAGGTTGCTCAAAGCCCCATCCAACCTGGCCTTGAACACTTCCAATGATGGGGCATCCATAACTTAACTGGGCAGCCTGTTCCAGGTCTCACCACTCTCATCATAAAACATTTCTATTTTCTTACTACGCCAATAAAAAAGACTGAATTGGCTTCTGACATATGAATCTTGACTTTTTCAACACCTTCAGCATCTTGTAGTTGATTGTTCAGTAGTTTGTCGTAATATCTTTGTGGGTTTCAAAGTCTGGCTATTTGCTGCATTCTCCTTCCCCTCCAAAAAAAGAAGATAATAACTGCATCTGTTCTCTTGCAGTCCTCTGGACCCCTTTACTCAAGTTCTCAGAAATATGCTTGAACTTTCAGAGGCTGTTTCTTAAATGCTCAAGAGTGAATTTCATCAAACCCTCAGGACTTGAATAGACCTAGCTCATCTAAATATGTTTAACCTGTTCTCTTTATGTTTCAGCCTATCCTTTTCTTTTCTTTCTTGTTTAAATTAATTGCATCAAATACCTGATTACAGCTACCTGTTTGTATAAAGACTGACTTAATCTTTCTCTGGGTCGTCTGTTATTTTCTTTCTTTACCTGGCAATGCACTTACACTTCCTTTGTCTTCCTCTAACTTGGAAAGCATTTATAGAAACTTTCTTGCTACCATTTATGCCCCTTGGTAGTTGCAATTTATTTGTGTCCTAGTCTTTATAATATTAACTTCCCATGCTTATATTATTCCTTGTACTCATCTTAATTGTGTGTCAAATTCTTGATACCCCGGGCATTGAAGAACTCTTGCTGAATCCATAAACATTTACCTCTGCATCAGGACAATTTGCTGTCATCTTCAGTATAGCCTGTTTTATTAGTGACTGCCAGCTCTTCTGCAGTCCTTTATCCTTTAGGAACTTCTTCCCCATAGTTTCTATTAATCAGTTTGCCAAATGTGTTAGTATCTCTTTTGGGGGGAGCTCATTGTCTTTAGTCTTTAACCCTGAGTTTTAGAATAGTGAACTCTGGTATTTCAGTGATCCTCTTCATCCATATTAGCCATTACTTTCAGGCTCTTTGTGAGCTCTTCTCTGTTATGATCAGAATTAAATTTAGAATATTTCTTCTTTTGGTAACTTTCTGCAGTTGCCCTCAATACATTCTGGTATTTCATTGGAAAGGCCTTGTCTTGGCTTATTGCTGTTCTAACAGTTACACAGCTGTTAAATGGGAACTAGAGTTTAATTTCAAAGAACAGGACTGCTTTTTTAATCTGAAATACCTTTAAAGTATGGAAGACATTGAGCATAACTGCACTTCAGACAGACAAGAAATTGATCAGAAAGATTGGGCTGAGAAGAACAGAAAAATATTACTGGAATGACACGCTCCTGCAAGTCTGCTCAAGAATAGGACGAAATAAGGAAATAATTCACCCCATTTAAAATGAAACATACAGGCAGGCAGACAACTAAATACAGTTAAACAGATTTTTTTTTCAAGTCTGCCTGACAGTGAAAGCAGCTCTGTTGAATTGCTAACACAGATGCAATATATTGCCTATTCTTTTGTGCTTAGAGGCTGCAGTCCTGAAAGCAAATCTTGGCTGCTGATCTTAATCAAAGCAGCTTCAGTATGCCCATTCTTTGTAGCATGTTGCTTCCCATCTGCTAGAGAAGGAAGGAGTTTACAAATTCAAATCGCCCATTTAGAAGGCAGGTGAGTGAAACGATGTGGTCCCTTCCCCCCTTCACCATCCTCAGCTCAGGTCCAATAGAAATGGAATTTAATTGCATTTTGAACAAATATTAACAAAAGGTGAGACTCCACTCTTAAAATTACTAAGATCTTTTAACCAACATATTGAATCTTCCGGAGCATTAGATTTTTATCTTGAGTGTAATGAGGTGCGAAGCTGCTCTATGAAATCTGCAGAGGTGTTTTGTATTACTGCATTTCTGCGGAGATGCTGTAAGTGAACTGGTGGAGCCACTTCCATTCTCAGTTCTATTAAAATCGGTTAGACTTGATAAAACATGAACTAGTGAACATAAATTTCTTACTTTCAGCCCAAATGTGACTTCACCTTCTCTCACCCTTCTTATTCTTTAGTTTTTTGAAGTGAGTAAAGAATTTTCTTGAGGAATTTTTTTCCACTGATTTTTAGTTATTAGAAAATGAAAACAGTGTAAACCAACTTAACATTTTAAGTTCTCTTGAATGTGTGACATGCAAAACTTCAGTATCATTCATGTATGTTGAAGGATGTGCTTTTCTACAACAGGTCAGCATAGATTGTTAAGGACAGATCAGAATAGGGAACATAATTTGTGAGGAGGCAATTTTGCTTAGTGAGCTTTTTTTTTGCTTTTGAATTCCAAATATTTTAATTTCAACCAACTTAGCATGCATGTGGCTGATTAGGGAAGAGTATGCTTTTCGTGGCAGAAGAAACTTGATTTTGAAATAAGATTGTGAAGGATTGAAATGGAATAAAATTCTCAAAACCAATGTTAAATGTCAGAATATGTAGCAGAATTGGTTTATCCAAAAATGGACACATTTGGATATATGATTAATTATATTGAAAAGGGTAAAGGAATACTTCAGAACTGAGTATATAACATTAATTAATCTGATGCTATAGATTAAAAATATGTTCTGGAAGACCAGGTGATGATTGTAGAAGGTGAAGTGCCTTCCATGTCTGGATACTTAAAGGAAAAGGGGTAGAAATAATTAGAAAGAAAAACAGACCCAAAATAAAACCCCAGATCGCTTATTCCATCCTTGTTACTCTGCTACTCTGTTTACTTAGTAATTACAGCTGAATATCGGCTTCATTGATGTTAGACTTCTATTGATCTGAGAGTAGGAAGATTAGGTCCTTAATGTATTTTGAGATAGTGGGATAAAAATGTTGAGAAATGGACAAATGTTATGAAAATGTATCATTTTTATTTTATCATAAATTAATTCCATGAGTAAGCATGCACTATTACTGACTTCTTATTGAATATGATTATTTTTATTGTTTTCCATTGTTAGTACCTGTTGTAGAAACACTTATATAATATTATTATAGTACCTTGGTACATTCATTGTTTCTAAAGATTTTAATGCAATATTTACACTTTAATGTTATTAGACATATCTAACCAGTCTTCCCCATATTAAGCTTTCTCTTGATACTGCTCTCCCAAGGAAGGAAACATCAGTGTCCTACTAAAGTAGCTATCTTCCTTCAGAAATTGGAATTGTCTAAATTAACACGATCTTTGCACTATGTTTACATACATACGTTCTCCAGTCTGCCTTTCATACTCTTAAGCTATTCCTTAATCCTTGCTATGACAAGCCAAACTTGTTTGTTATTATTCTTTATTACCACATAATTACTTGTCCGTACTTATGCACGTGTCCATTACATCCGTAGTGGCTCACGACTGGGCTCTTTGACCGGAGGAGGTGTGTGTGTGTCTGTTCATTGTATCTGCTCTCCCCCATGCCACCTAGCTGTCTCTCATTCCCCATTTCTTCCACCGTACGTTGTCCTAATGCCTTCTGCATTCAATCCAGGTGATTTAGAAAGGAAGATACTTGGAGTATAACTCCTTTACACCGCTGAGCTGCAAGTGTTTGCCATCCTCACAGTACCGTTACCTAGCTGGATCCAGCACTGAATGCTGGGCAGCGTGTTACTTGGTTTTCACTGCTTTTACTTAGAAAGCTTGTTCCTCCAGCTTCTTTTAGTCTGAAATGGCTGAAAATCAAACTGGTAGCGTAATAATCAATCAGAAAATGAGTAACTGTCTGTTCAGTTTTGGAAGTGCGGTGTTTTTATGTGTCGTGTATAAATGAAAAGTTCTTGTCCCAAGCTCAGTTTTTTTAGCTTGGCTGATACAAAATTAATTAACTGACCTTGAATTCAGGAGTATAATTTAATATCATTCTCAGAACTGATGGTGAAAGGGCACTTTCATAGAAATGAATCCATTACTTTGGCAATAATTTCCTTTTAAGAAACTGTCTAGTGCTGCGAGTAAGACTTTTCCCTATATAGATCATTTTCAGGGTTGCTGCTTGGCTTGAGTTAGGTTAAATATCAATTTATCTTTGAGAAACATTAAGAGCAAAAAACTTTGCACATCACCTGCATTCTGATCCAGTGCATTTATTTATAAACATCATGCTTCTCATTCAGAAACTTTATATAACACGGAAGTGAAGGATGGCTCCCAAAGTTTAATCCAGATCTACTCCCGCCTTCCCGAAATACCTCAGGAAGAAAATGCAGCTGAGTCCTGGGAAACTTTAGAAGAGGTACGTTGAAACTCCCTTACTGCCACGTTGGTGCTCTTGTTTTTAGCAACTATTACAAAATAACATTTGATTTTTGTTTGCAGGACTTGATTCAGCTTAGCCAGCTGGTGACTGATTTTTCTCTCTTAGTCAGCGTAAGTATTAATTCTGCATTCTACCCCAGATAGAGTCTTGAACAAAAAGAGGGCAAATGGGTAACTCCTAGTTGGGGGAAGAAAAGACGAGCAATACTTCTGCCCGTACTCTGAACTCAGACTGAGCTAGTATCACTTGATCAAAGTGACAGAATAGCAGAATAACATTAACTGAATTTAACTTAGTTTAACTACTCAGCTGCCCCGTCTGGTTAGAAAACTAACAGCTCTTCCTTCCCTACATCAGTGACTCATTGCTGCAGGTATCTTTGTGGCTCTCCTGTTGATTCAGGCTTTGTCAAGGTAATTTTTTGAGGAGGCAGTAGTCTTCTGTTTCAGCACTAGTGCTAATAATTGCTCCTAAGTTCTTGTCACCAGAGCAGCTACTGATGTTCTAGCCAGTGCCGTTGGCCACAAGCTGAACTTTAGCAGAAGCTCTACAGTGTTGACCGCAGACTTCTACCCAGGTCCCATTCAGTTTTACAATTTCTAATTATAATGGTGATGATAGCCTTCACTGCACAGGGCGGGTGTTTCTCAGGTACTTTCTCTCGCTTAATCAGGAATACTAGAAAAATCTGAAGTTTCCCTCACCTTTATCATGCCCTTTCTCTGCTCTCACAGATGTAGCTGCCAAAAGGTTGTGCATCTTCATCATCCACACTCAGTTCCCAATGTTTAGTTCTTCCTGTGCCACAGGGAATTTAAACCCACAATTCTCATCTCCTAGGAGAGTTCTTTAATCTCCTTTCTGTTGGGTTAGTTTGGATAGATAAAAGAGCTTTTATCCTTTCTGCTGAATATGTGCTGCTTCACATTAGAAAAAAACCCCTAGGATTCATTAGGCTGGAGAGGGACTGCAAAAATTTTTATTCAGTAGCCTAAATGTTAGCAGCTTTAGCTAAAAAAGGGGAGTTCCTGTTCCCAGGACTTTCTCGATTTTACACATAACCATCATTAGATATAATAGCAAGTATCTAAAGTGTGTGGATTGGATCATGGATGAAGATACCAGAGCTGGTGGATTCAGCAGTTTCTGAATTAGAAGGAGGAAAAAAGTTCAGAATGCCTTTTATTTTAAGCTGAACATTAGCCATCTTGTTATTTTGTGACGTAAAACAGCCTGGGTACTGCTGAGATTAAAATAAGAACAAACAAACAAACCCCTTTATCTTCTGCTCCAGTGTTCTCTGAGAGAGACTGCAGGGGAATCTGACTGCATTTGGAGAAAGGATGGAACATTTTTGTAAAATCAAACAGTAGAATATAGAGCAACAGCAAGTATATTTCAGTACTGTCACTACTCCATTTGTAAAGTTAAGTCTGTGTTTTATAATGTCATAATTAAACACTTCTATTTAGATTTCTTGGTGCAGCTTTGTATGTTGGAGTTGGTACTGATCTTATAAATGCTCTTTATAGAATTTTTTTTTTTCAGGAAACAAAAAGGCTAGTTTGGATTATTTTTCCTTTTGGAATGCAAGTTCATCTATTCACAGAAAAGATTTAGAAATCATATGTTTTGGGTTGTTTTCTCTAACTCCAGCAACACATTGTATAATACCCACACCATATTATTACTTAACAGTTAAGATTTTTTTTTAAAGCAAGTTTGTAGTTTCAGCACAGTTTATCAGATGCTATTAATGAACCACCATTAAGGCTGCATGGCTGCAGTGTGTAGCAGATGAAAGCGGCTGTGGGGCCCTGATTACAGGCATTAAAATGGTGTGTATTGGCTCACTGCTGCTTCCCAGCAGGTTACCTCACTCATAATTCCTTTGCATCTAGTCTCAGCAGGAGAAGATTGACAGGATTGAAGACCATGTCAACAGTGCTGCTGTGAACGTTGAAGAGGGAACCAAAAACTTGGGGAAGGTAGGGATCTGCTCCCGCTGGTGAATCAATGGTACTCTGCCTCCCAGCAATCCTCTGTATTAACCCAATTGATCTGCCGTCTTTAATGCTGAGGGAGCCAGCAATTAAGGAAATAAGGAAGAAATGACCCACAGGTAGCAGGGAAAAAAAAAAATCAATATCTCTTGTAATTTTCTATCACATCCAGGCTACTAGGAAATACAGGATTTTTTTTTTTTCTTTTTTATGCTATTCTGATGCTACGTTGGTTTACCTGTGAAGACAAGAGCATTCAAAGATTGGCTCACAAGAATGAAATAAGCGTAAAGCATCAGGTTGATGATAACATGCAATTTCAATCCCATTCTATGTCGATGTCAGTGACAGTTGCTAATAAGCCACAAAGCTAGATTCAGGCATGTTACTGAAAAGTCTGAGCATTTTCTGTTTCTCATTTGATTTAATGATGGAGACGAGGTAATAAATAGTCTACATAATCAGGCAGCAGCATATAAAAGGACCTGGTTCACAACTGCATACATGAGATAGCTCAATTTTGAATTGTTTTTGGTACGTTCTGTCATACATGTGGGATAGTAGATCATCTTTTTTTAAATACTAATTTGTAAAGTTTATTTATCACTGAGCATTCAAGTCATTGCCAAGAGCAATGAGGGGAAAATGCACAGCACCACAGGCAAGTATTCTAACTTTTTTTTTTTCCTTTACAGGCTGCAAAATACAAGCTGGCAGCTCTGCCTGTGGCAGGTGCAGTCATTGGTGGAGTGGTGGGGGGTCCTATTGGTCTCCTTGCAGGCTTCAAAGTGGCAGGAATTGCAGCTGCACTTGGTGGTGGGATTTTGGGTTTCACAGGTGGAAAATTGATACAAAGAAGAAAACAAAAAATGATTGAGCGAGTCTCTTCCAGCTGTCCAGAGCTTTCTCGCCAGAGTGCCAAAAAATCCAGCTGAACTATAGATTCATTTTGACTAGGAACAAAAGTGTAGTAGCCGTGCTAATGACAGACTTGCAGCCTTATGCTTTAAATACAAGGCTGAGTTGTGTGAATTTTGACAACAGTACTGTTACTTGGGAGGGGTGAACCGGCAATGTCGGAATTTCTCTTTTCAGATGTGATAAGTGACATCAGTCCTTTGAAAATTACATGGATAACTTTTACTTATAAAATTCTTAGGTGAGCTACGTGCACAGCTGTAATGATGGGTGACAGGTGCTTCATGCCAAATTTGCATAAAGTGTCTTGCAGACAACACAGAGAGAGGTATTTGGAAAACCCTAGTGCTTTCCCATGAACGCCACCCAGAAGCTGAAGCTTTGATTATAGAGCTCCAAAGAAAAGGAAATAAGCTCCATCTATCTTTCACGGTCCTAGTACTTTAAATCTACATTCATTTATCTGGATTCCCAAACTCCTCCTGCGTATACCCCCAGGACATGACTGACTACGCCACTTCGATAATGCACGGGGAAGCATTAGTTCCACAGGAAAAGGTTAAAATGTTGGCTGAGCAAGGTGGAAGAAAAACTTACGCAGATCCCACATCTGCCTCCCGTCAGCCAAATCAGATCAGCATCATAATCAGCTTTTCCCTTTTTTCAGGTACTTTTTTTTTTAAATTGGTAAACTCCTCACCTTCTTCAAAGGTGAAGTTAAGAATTAAAACAGCCTAAGCAGCAACCCTGCAGGATTGCTACTGGAGAATAATTTTCCATGGCTGTTCAACTTCTTGGCTTGTCCTGAGAACATGGTACAGGATGAAGTGACAAGCTCTGGCACTCTGAGCCCGAAGCCTCAGCTTACTTAAGCAGTGCTTACTGCTAGATGTTGCCTTTGCTTCTCATCTCCTGTCATCAACAGCGCTCTGGTGGGAGAGCTAAATAGCTTCCCTGGAAGGCGGTGCTGCAGCCAGGCCCACTCCCTCAATAGTCTGTATTATCCCTCAGGGGTGGCGTCAGGCACCAGGTCAAAGGATGGTGGAGCAGCGAAGCCCTTTAAACGGTGCCAGTGTCAGCTGACATCCCTGGATGATGGGACTATTTTGAAAATGTCAACCCGATACTGTTTACAAATAAGTAAACCATACTTGTCTGGGTCAGCTGCACACCTCCTGCATGCTGTTCAGTTCTGAAACTTCTGCTTCCACCCGCACTGTAGAGCAGCTTCTCAGCCTTTTCAAGATTTTGGGGCATGCTGTGGAGCCTGTATGGGGTGAGATGCTGGTAGTGCTTCTGCAAGCTTTTTATAGCAGATGCCTGTTATTCTTACCATCCTTATTTTGCTGCTTAAGAAGCCTTTTGCTTCTGAAGCTTCCATTGTTAAATACGGGAGTGTTAATGTGTTTTTATTGTCACATAATCATACTATTGTCACATAGTCTACTGTTCAGCACATAGTCCTACCTCCATCCTTCCAGGACAGTTCCCACACTATTGCTGCTACTGATGGGGGAACAAAAATTGAGGTTGGGAAGCTGCTTTTTAAAGTTTTAAAATGTTCAATTCATCCTGAGCTCTGCTTGAGACCAGTTTTATTAGGTGAACACTGAAGTCAGTGTTCAGCGATAATGCTCCCTAGCAGGGAAACACTGTATAAGGAAGCATACTATAGAAAGAGCTCCCTTTTCTTAACCAGTACTTTGATATCATCATTGAAAATAACTGTCTACTAATGACAGATGATAGGGTTTTTGTGCCTAGAGACACCGTAAGCAACTGTTAGTTACAGCACAAGTATCTTTTTCTGAACAGTTCTTCCTTATTATTTTTAAAATATGATTGAAATTGCTACCAATCAGTCAGAGCATCGTGTCTATTTTAAGTAGGTCTGAGGCTCAGGGAAGCAACGTGTGCAAGAATAGTTTTCACAAGTAATCACGAACATTGTCAAAACTGCATGTGTTAAAGCCACAGTGCCTACATCTGTAAAATCAGCTGGAGTGGAAAATATGACCCAAGTAATTCAGCTCATTTGCTCCTGTCAGGCAAAACATGGTTTTCTTTAAATGCATCTACTTTGGATGTAAACACATTTAATGAGCTTGTAACAACTTCATACTAAGGCTGTTCATTCCTTTGACATACAATTTCTACATTTAAAGGAAGAAACTAAGGGAAAAAAGTGTTCTTAATCAGAAACTGTGGTTGATTCTTTGTATGATTTTAAAAAGCTATGTCTGCTTTCCTACTGTATGCTTTGAAACCTGGTGCATTTAAACAACAGCAGCCACAGAGACATTGAGGACTCCACCCTCTCCCCCCAAGCTGGACTAATGCCAGGACAATCTAAATTCATAAAAGTGAATTCCTGCCACAGCTTATACAAATTCAGCTTGGTATGTGCTCATTTTATGAAATGTCTAGCACAAAAACTATTCTTCCTCCTTGTGTCTTTAAGGAAGCAATTTCAAAACATTGGGAAACTATTATTTAAACTATGATTTTTTAAAATAGATGGGTTATTTACATATGTGAAGAAACATGGGCATCTGAGTAACCAAACTAGCATTTAAATTGCTAGGCGTGTTAGTCAGAAGAAATGTGAGATATACATAATTCTTTCAGACCAAATAAAAGTTTTTGCCTATGAGAGTGGTTGTAGCATTTATGGAGAATGTTGGGGTTTATTTCCTTTCAGCATCTAAAGGATTAATCCCTCACAAATTTTATGTTATTAAAATAATTGCATTACAGAGATTTAATAATCCTGAAATGACTTACCAAACACATGCTTCAGCTATTGAAATATTTACATTGACTGAAACTAACACAAGTTCCTAAAATTTTGCATGCATTTAGTAACTCATACACATATGCTAGGTCAGAAATGGACTCCTTAAGTTCAATTAAAAAGAGAGTTTGGAATGGTTTTGTTCCATATGGGGATAACACTAATATTGTTTGACAACTTCCCATGAAAGCCTCGAGAAACGTTAAAGGGAGTGGTTAGCTGAGCACTGCACAGTTAAAACCATTGATGTAGATGATCAGAATTGAAGGGCTCAATTTGAAACACATCTCGCATTTTGTCCAACGCTTGCTCTTGCTAGGCAAATTCTCTATTTCTTCAGATACTTCAAAAGTTCAAGTGATACTCAACATTATGTTAGGCATACCTAGACTTTAGCTGTTCAACCTCCAATGAATATACAATGAAATGACTTGAGTGCGTAACTGTCATAGAACTGCTACATCTAATTGTCTACCTCGTGCTGGGATCCCAAAGCTCTGGGAACAAGTCCTTACTCAGAAACACAAACTTGGATGAAGGAATGGCAGAGGGGGTTCATTTCTCTCACTTTCTAGCTGAAAGCACCAGCCACTGGACTGTTGGGTGTATGATGAGGTAGCATCTCTCTCCAGAAGGAAAAGTTTAGGCATCTTCTACCAAACAGCATTTATAAATAAGAACCCCAAGGAAAAACAGGACCCTTGGTGGAGTAAGATGAGCACTTTAGGCACCATGCAGGAATTTACTAAATTTCAGGTGCCTGAACAACTCCAGAAGTTCTGTAGCACTATCTGCAGATAACAAGTGGCAGCCTTAAAACCATACCCTGCTCACATCTTTGGATTCCAGCTGGAAGGTGATATGACTCAGCTACCAAAAATGCCTGATTTGGCATGAGATGAAGAATGGGACAGGAGAAGACCTGGCTTTCAAGCACTTAATATGCACTCCAAAATGCAGATTCACAAAACTGACAAAAAAGTATGCCTGTAAACAAAATCTTGCAATACTCCATTAGCTACCAACTCTGCATCTGCTCAGTTCGCTGTAGCTTAGAGCTGGTTGATACTAGCAACTCTCTCCTCAGAACCACCCCCTAGAAAGCCATGTGCCTGTTGCCGCAGGGCCTTGATTCAGCAGCCTTTCTTTTGCCACAGCTGCACAGGACCATGGCAGCCTTCTGTCAGTAACTGAGTAGGTGGCATCTACCTGAGAGGCAAAAGGAATCCTGAGCTGTGAACTGCAAAAGTTGGGGCACTCACTGAAATAAACATGAACCCAGTGGTCCACCTATGCAAAGAACAAGCTTGCTTCTAAGGACACTAAACCTTGGGGGCCCAAGTCATGGACCTAGATTGTTTGCAGTAAGTGTACTGTACAAATCATACTGTACTAGTTCGTCTCCAGCAATGCACCCCAAATTAACAGATACTTTTCCATCTTACAGTTTCTATATGTTCATCTTGCCAAACAGCTTGAAGATTCATTGAGAAAAGCCTGCATTCTGGTATTATGCACAACAGAAAAGCCCATAGGAAAGTAGTAATTCCTTCTTCAGAGGAGAATTCAAAGAATATGCAATAAATAAGGCACAAGCCAGACAAAAAGAGTAACAGAAAATTTGCAATGGTTGTTCAGAAAGTAAGTGTCTGCCAGGAAGGCAGGGACCCCAAAAAAAAAAGACTAATTGTAACATATACATACAGAGATTAATTTAAGCCTCACAAAACTAAGATCGCAGTCCACCCCTAGTCCTCTCCTACTTTGAAGGGCTTCCAACATTCATGTTCTTTTAACATAACTGAGTGGATAATATAACAATCTTAATTCCAGGAAATCAGAGCAGGTCAATACAGCCCCTTCATTCAAAGTACAGCCATTATAATTAAAATTTCTTTCCTCACTTGCTATTTTAATAGTCAGAATTGTTTAATCGCTTAGACATTTACACCCAGTAAAGCACCACACGAGATTCTGTAAAACTTTAATTTATTCCCCTCCCAAGTATCCAGAATAGAAGACCCTCTTAAGTTGGAAAAAAATGTGACAAAGAAACAGATTACCAGGATAGCTGTTCACATGAAGAAGAAGAAAAAGCACATACTACCAAAGGTTACACAGAAAACAACCCAAAAGTCCTATTTAATGGGATAGTGCAAGTTAACAGCATGTCTCTGTCAAGGATACCTTCATTTGGATTATAAAAGTTTTACAGAACAAAGT